GCCAAACGAAAGTTATAGCAATTTTCCTGCTTGAGACCCATGTTTTCAGATCAACATTTAGGAATTTTTAGAAAGGTGTGTGGGAGTAAGGGAGATGAAAGAGTATTTCTTCAATAAGCCTGTCAAAACTTAACCTTTTTTCAAAAAATTATATATATTCTGAAAGAGGAGATCACGGGGAATCTTCCTATGATAGAAACTCGATTTCGTTTTTTTCGAAAAATCGGCTTTTCTGAGGGGGAGGGGGCTTAATGGCTGGTGGTGTGTAAGAATGCTTGAAGGTAGAGGATCATGGGAGGATAACTATTTGTGCACGAACTATGACATTGGCTTATCGTGGATATGGTTTTTTAAGGACGCATGCATGCTAAGCTTCAAATGTGTGGCTGCTGTGGAGCCATATGACGATTGGTGGCTAGATAACGCCTTATGCCTTCCATCGGATTCAAAAATTGACCTGGTATGGCCATTCTGTGGCCCGCGTCAAAACTTGTCTTGCATCCAACTTTATGATTCTACATCGCCGTCCTATTTTCATGACAATTATTTATGTTGGCGACAAACGAAATAAAATGTGTTTCTTCCCTTTCTTTCATTGAATAATCGAGAAGAAAAATACCATAACGAGCTTTTAAAGGGAGGGAATGTATTTACCAGAGTTCCATTGAAGATATACATCCATACGTTCACATTTTTTTATTTTTATTGCCGATATAACCATTGTGACTCTAACTTCTATCCTGCTAAAATAATTGTTGCTTTAATGCTTTAGTATTTAAAATAGAAGCACATGAACGATGTTCTGCTCATAGAACTACATATAGGTAAAGGTAACACGAGTGGAGCTATTTTCATTCCGGATTGCTCATTATGATATGAACACAGGAAAATACAGGTCGATTCGGAATCAATCACGTTTTTACAGGCAACAATGAGTTTTAGGCGAGTGTGAGTTAGGTGACGAGTGCGTGAACAATTTAGCGGAAACTATTACACATCTTCACAGAAAGTTTTGCCTTTTTGCAATTCTTCGGCAACACTATGACTCTCAGACCTTCCTTGAAAAGTCTGTATATGGTACTGGTGAAGGTGAAGATGACTGTTGAGGGTGGGATGGAACTTTGAACGAGTATTACTAAAGATAAGACTCAGTCACACTCAACCATACCTCGCTAATCGAGCTTCATGGAGCAATTTTTCAAATTCTTTTGGTGTATATCTAAGTGTAGCTTCTCGACTGCCAAAAAGGATTTAATTGTATTTCATTCGGAGATTTTCATTTAATTAGTAAAGGAAGAAGACGAAAAACAAGTACAACTTTGACAAGGTTAATTTTTTTCACGTAGATTTACATTAATAAGACAAACACGGAATGAAGAATATTGATAAATTAATAAAAATAAACTTCTGGGTCACACAAAATATTTGGGAAGTTCAACAAAATAAGAATAAGAAATTAAGATTAAAATAGTCTCTTTCAATAAATATTACCCATCGATTATTATCCATGTTCTTCACTGTCATCCGTTGAATCTGATGTATTTTTTGACACTGCTGATGTTGTTTGTTTTGGTGAAACTTTTGTCGATTCTTTTGAAGAATTTTTTTTGCGATCAGGCATCCCGTGTTGCAATGAAGTTGCAGTCGGCTGTCTATTTTCTGACGCAGCTGTAGCTTGTTGATTACCTATAAATCGAATTATATCTTAGAATATATAATTTGAATGACAAGATAATGTTTAAGGGTTCATTATCATCTTACTTTTAAGAATTATCTTAACAAATATACTGATCATGAAAATGTCTTTCATGCATATTCTTAAATATGGAGGCAAGAATTACATAACACTCTACGAAAGTGTCTATAATGTCTCTAGGAATTGTTAGTAATGAAATTTAAAACAATTTTATTGTTTTTAGTTAATATGTTCTCACTAAATATTGATGTACGTATAATTGAATCTTTCTATAAATTCGATGGCTTTTGTTCATCAATGTTTAACCTGAAGAATTTTTACTTTTCTGGTTCTTGATTGAATGAATAACGAATAATCACTATTTTTTATTCGCCAGTCTATCGAGACAGTGCGTGACATGAAACTCAGGCAAGATTCTTTTTTTTGCTTCTTGTCAAAAGAAAACTCTTGCTCGATTTGCATGATTATAAAGAGTCTTGGTAGTTCCATCCTAAAAACCGAATTTGAAAAGAATAGATCTAATGGAAGCTAGGTTAGTGTTCACGTTTGAGTACCTAATTAAATAGAACAAAGCAAGGCTTTTCTTTACATCAAGAAATAAAAACTTTTCTCTTATTTAGCTAGCAAAAATATTATCTTTCCATATCTGTGCATAAAAATGCATAACAAGACATAATTTTGGGGATTCTAATTTCTCCGACAAAAGTATAGCGTTGTCCATCACTCTCAAGGAAATTGAATATTCAAATGAGATTCAACTTTTACGCAAGCATACTATCCAGTCTATTTCATAAGAAGTATGTGTAGTCCACTGTTAGATAATCGATGCCTTGAGTTTGGTTGTGGGCTGCTTTTTCTGTAGAATGACAGTTTACATGGTCACTTACATCCGATATTCGGCAGTCGCTCACTCAATAGTCCTCACTTTACAACTAAAGACATAGATAGAACTAGAAATGTTGAACTAGTATTAGGCTCAGTATTTATTGAGATAGAAGAGACTATACATACGCAGATCAAACCACGTTCACCGACACATCCACACTCTAACTGGTTTTCTAGTCTGCTAGTAAAATATATTCTTGAAAGAAAATACTAGTATAGGTTGGTAGTAATCCAGGTTCCTCCGAACTTTGATAGATAGTTCTTAATGCATTGTTTAATTATTTACCTAAACGTCCATCGTAGAACTCTTGCATAAGATTCTTCAAGTCTTCTTTAAATTTCAACGATGGATATTTTTCCATGTAAAGTTTAGCGATTTTGTCAAAAGCTGTGTAGCGACTCTTTTTATTGTTTTTATTATCAGTGAAAATATGATAGCTTTTCTCTTTTTTCCAAAATTCTTCGAAAAGCATGTATTTATCTTTGATAAGTTTAACAACCATGGCAATACCAAGTCCCACTGGTAAATCGTGATATTCATCTATTAAAAGAGGAGGAGGATATTGGTGGTTGTTGTCAATGATACGACGACGCACAATTTCCATTAGTAAAATAAGTACAGCTTCAGTGTTTTCAAAATTTCCTTGTGGTACTCTATAAAATGTTAATGACCTCAATTTTTCGGAGACCATCTGGCACAAAAGACAATTGCCTGGTTGTGTACTGTTTGCAGATCCATTATAGGTACATCCTAGAAGAAACTCTTTACCGTCGCATATAATAGTTTCTGTCAATGGATCACATTTCAGCAGGTTCTAAATCATTTTTAGAATCAATGATACATAGTTTTCAAAAATATTAAGCAAGTTACTGCTGTAAAAACTATTTTATTCGCTAGTTGGAGCTATGAAAGGGACAAGAAAAATAGATGGGCAGGATTTTTGGCATGATATTTGTCACCATCAGGCATATGATCGGCGCTTTGATGTATATTTTCAATTAAATAGATGCAGAGCCCAGCAGAAAATAGAATTATACAAAGACTCGTGAAAGCGATTAGTTATACGCCTGATGATAACCAAAGTGCAATATCGAAAAGTTCGCACTATTCTTTTTATTTCTATCTTTGTCATCCCTGAAGTTTCAATTAAAAGAGCAAATCATTTTTACAGTAGGTTTTTGCTTCATTATTTCAATATTACTTCTCTCGATCTTTTTTTCTTCCACATGCTCGCAGTCGTATAAGTTTTTCCGTCCAATGTCGCCCGACCACGTTTGTCTATTTTAGTTTGTTGAACTTGTAATAAATGGTGAACGATGAATCGATATGAATTACCAGAAAGATCGATTTTTTCTATCGGTAACTCTCCGTTTTCCAAACGCCCAACAGCTTTATTCTTCAAAGTTGATAACGCATTTTCATCCAAATTTTTAGTTTCTTCCCAAAATTGATTGTCAATTTCAGTAAAATCGTCTAGCGTTAACTTTGCTTCAGCGTTAGCCGATTCAACCTAAATATGACGTAAAAGATTAAAAATATATCTGCTACTGTTATGGGACGGTACCTATCGTCCCAATTAGGGGTATAACAGTTCTCAGATCTAAGTTCAAATCAAATGAGCGAAAGAACTGTTCGAACAGATCAGATCAGATCCTGTGAACTGTCTGAACAATTCTTTTGAGCGGAACTGAAACTGAACTGTCATACTCGTAGTCCCAATAGCCTCTATGCTATTTTCCTTTGTCTCTTTCTATTTGATTAGTCTTCGAAGTATATCCCAGGTCGAACATACACGGTCGTATACGACGGTAAATCGCCGTATTTGGCCGTATTACATGGCTCCGTATTACGATCGTAATACGGAGCCATGTAATACGGCCAAATACGGCGATTTACCGTCGTATACGGCAGAAAACGACCGTATACGGCCCGTATTTCACCGTATACGGACGTCGTAAAGCTCGTCCTGGGTATATATAAATATGGATCGATAATCTAGTATATACAGAAGAGAACAGAGAGAAGAAAAGTGTGTAAAGGTATCGAGTCGTCTCCGTGCCAAGCAGAGCGACTATGTCGTTCGTCTATTATCGTTATCGCCGATTACCGTTTCGTTTTTTTGTTACTTTCGTTATAAATTAAATAAAAGAATATTTATAATTAAATCCTAACAGCTACTTATTCTTTTTCATCATTCATATTTCTATAAATCTCGTTTGATAGAAGCAGAAGACTTTTAAAACGTAACCGGAGAAAATAAGTCATACGATATATTGGAAGCTGTTTTTATACAACAGGTAGAAATGTAAAATATCTTTAGACTATTTTTTGTCTTGCAAAGACATTCGTATTTTGCAATGATAATTCAGTTCTATTTAACATTAACGCCTTGAGTTGAGCACTCAGTGTGCATATGAGCGTGATGTTAAAAATGGATATGATTCACAGTCACATCCATCAACAACGTTTTGATCTTTACTGCTCGAAGTATGTTAGGTGTATACCTCAGTCAAAATAAAAGCTTTTTAAAAAGCTTTAAATCGAAGCCTCCGATATTTCTATCTGTAGAACTCGAAACTTTAATCGAAATTGTACATTTATTTCGTCCAATGTGAGTATATGTTCATGCGGGAATATTCAATGAGTGCTTCTTTTGAATCAACAGCTAAATTTCATAATCTATTTTAATAAATTCATCGAAAAATACACAACAATGATGGGGAAAAGAAAACATTACCGAACAAAAAGGTGCTGATATGTAAGGAACCAGCGAATCAGGCTTTATATTTTTGCTTTAGACTCCAAGTATGGTTATAAGCTTGATCTTTAGTGGCAGTCAAGTAGAATTCATTAGATGGGTCATCAATTTTAATGTATAAATATGCATGCTTGATTGTTCAAAACATGATCTTAGTATTAGTTGATGACTAACACTTATCGTCAGTATTTATACAAGTTGAACAACAAAGCTTAGTTTTGTCACGTGAAACATAATTTTTGTCAAAAATATTAAGAAAATGTCAGTCATTTTTGTTAAATTGAGCATCGAGTGATGCAGTTATTGCAACAATCGCAGGAGAAAATATTGTCGATTAATACTTGAGCGAAGTGGACGGGGAGTAGCTTATGATTGCCAAATTGTTTAGGCGAATGTCACAAACTTAAGAGAGGGTTTGTGAAACCACTTAGCAACTCAGCCGCCGTTAAAATTTTGATTCTCGGTTTAACTATCTAAAACGGAAGGTCTCGTCAAACCATTAGTGAATCCAAAATATTAGATCTTTTTGATGTTCTGGAGAAAAATGCCAGCGTTTGCAAGTTATACACCATTTATATTTGGTAAAAAAGTGAAGTTTTTAGGGTGTCTGTAGTATTCTATACTTTCCTCCGCGTTCGCTCGATCGTTTGACTTTGGAAATGTCTCAAAAGATAGAGAAATGTTTTCTCTACAAAACCTACTCACTGATTTATTCATCCAGAGCCGTATATCAGTGAATATTACCAATACACAGACAAAAATTTCGATTGATTAAAATAAGGATTTCTCAGTATTTTGACAATACCCACGCTGGATCATGTCATCCCAAATTACTTTGCATATTTTCTGAAAGCCCTTAAAAATCTGCATCTCCTATGCAATTGCTTATTCAGAAAGAAGTTGAGCGAAAATAGTTAGTCTACACCACAAATGTTGACATTGGATAGTTTTCTCTGTCCAATCGGATGCAAGATCAGCTGAGTATATTCTATGTATTTGTTCAAATCCGAAATATGATTTCAGATTCGTGATCAGCACGGAAAGTTGATCACAACAATATTATAGATTAATTGCAAAGTCATCTAAGCTAAAAAACACCTACAGCACAGCAATAATTTGAAGAATTTTTTGGAATAATTTCTGGTATGTCTATCTAATCACTAAATCGGAGATCTAAGAATAAGAATTTTGCTTTATTTAGATTCTCTGAACACTTATCTTAAAAATCTGCTATTTACTTTTTTCGCGTTTTATTTTATTGTTGAGCTAATTAGACTTATCTCGATGTTGTCGAAAATTCATAT